CGGCTGCGGAGAATTATCTGGATTTACTTTTACTGAACTATCACTTTGGTTGTCTTTACTTTCTGAATTAGTTATCGGCTGAGAAGCCGGAGTCGCTGGATTAGGACGATAAGTTTCAGTTTGATCTTTGCAGAATTCACAAATGTCTCCTTCATCAGCTCCCATTGCTGCGTTGCATACCCTTCCATTAGGCTTTATTTTACCTCCTCGACATGGTTTGGAATGGGGCAAACACAAATCCATACATTCGTAATAAGCCTCTTGAGAACAACCCGCAATTCGGCATTTACCTTTTTGTATTTGGTTGCCAGCAGCCACATAACAATCTCTGCTACAAAATGTTTTTTCAGTATTAGTATTACCAAATTTAACTTCTGTTAATCTTCCGCAATAATTGCAATTATCAACTTCCCGAGGTTCTTTTTTTGGCAAACTAGGTTCTTCGTTTCCATTAAAACACTCCGCACTACAATAAGCCAACACCCATCTACCGCTGGGATTATCATTAGTATTCTCATACTTAACGGGTCCTCTTCCATAAGCCTCCTCTTTTCCGCATTTGGCACATGGAGTACATTTATGACAGACTTCTGCTCCATTTTTTCCTTTGAAAGGAGGAATTGCATAATAAAGCCCTTTTTTTCCTTCATCATACTCCTTCTTTTTTCATCTACATTCTCCCTTTTTTCCACATTTACAGGGAGGGAAAACTTTTTCGTTATAACTCATTCTATCTATTTCTGCTGGCGTTACATATTTTATGGTGTAATTGTTTTGATTGTAATTCATATTATTTTTAATTTTTATTTTTTTCTTATTATTTTTGCCAATTTCTTTTAAAACAGTCGACTTCTGTTTACCAATTGCTTTTTTATAAATATTCTAATTAGTGGCAATTGGTAAGGAACCCAATTAGAACATTTTTTTTACCTCTTTTTCTGGGAGAAAAATCCTGCCAAGGAGTATTCACTTAGCAAAAAAAAAAAAAAAACAGTCATTTTTTACTTGCTTTTTATCTAGAATATGAAGCAAGCGGGAGAAAGGTAGTTTAGACTTTTCCGCCCTTCGGCAAATAAGAACCCACATTCAACTTTTACTGAGAACTTGGTTATCTTTATAATATAGATTTTATTCTATTGCGACAGAACTTTTCTATATAGTAATATTTATTATATAATTGAAATGTGGAGCCACACGTCAAATTAAAATTAGTATGTTCCAAGCATAATAAAGGGACAAGTGGGTTGTATTTTTTTTGTTTTTATACAGAGTGGCAGGAATGAAAAATTAGAACCCATCGAGAAAGAAATTTACTAAAATTAATTTATTATGAGTATAACGTTAGATTGAAAAGGTAAGCAAATTACTTGA